CGACGCACCATTGATCCGTAGCAGCTTTTACGTCAATACAACAACAAACCCGTTTATAAACTGCTGCCTATTTACAGCACAGATACGGAGCCTCGTCATCGACTGTTCTTTGTGTCCAGCTGATGAAGCGAAGTCCAATACTCTTCTTCTAGCCGCGGTTCCGTCTCCCGCTTCCTCCACCATCAGAGCGTTCAGCTCCGTGCAGCTACGAGAGCGGAGAGAACGAACCTTCATCTGATATGCATTCATTCAAGTTTGCATGTTTTTAGTGAACGGCGTCGGCAGAACGTAGAGACTCCCATGCGGGGAAGTCTTGAGGTTGAGGGTCATAAACAGCTAAAAGCCAAAGTAATCCATTATTCAATGCAGGAGAAACACGGCGAGTTCTCTCTCTTGTCTTCGGACTGCTCGCCTACTGGGTCGACTGTTATATCAAGATTTTGTTCTTTAAACTAGCAAAAACCTTCAATTAAGCCTCACTGCTTCTCAGGATAAACAGTAAGGACCAACAGCGATGATGATGAGGGTGATGGTGATGGTGATGGTGATGAAGGCGTCTCCTGTAAACTAAGTGGCTACTGTGGAATCTCGGAGTGATGCTGCGATAACAGATTAATCACCCGGTGCTCGGGTTCAGCCCAGCGTTCTGCATCTCACATCCTTTGAGCGTTGGGTTTTTTTTCTCCATTTTTTTTCACGCCTCATTCATGCGGGAGGCTTCATATCAGCCGACTCTGCGGCGGCGGTCGCCCATTTGCTTTTTTTGCCCTCTGGGAAAGACGCCGCGCGTTATTCATACAGATGCTGATCACCATCGGGGCGCGTGCAGCGGAGGCGCTATCCATCGAGACGGGGATCCCGCGTTGCCCCCCCCCCTGTCAAGGTCGCAGATGCTGATCTTTCGTCGATGGATCGATGGATCGGCGGGCGGCCTGAATCCCTCGCGCGCCGGCGGCATTCGGCTCGGCCCCCGTCCTTGGTGCCTGAAAGCGGAGAGAGAGGTTGAGAGAGAGAGAGAGGCCGACGCAGCGGTTGTCATGGTGACAGAGAGCCAGGCAGCGCCGCGGTGATACTGTAGTGATGAGGCGCTCCTGGATGGGGGCCGCGGTAAACGCCCCCCCCACCCTCCCCCAGTGCAAATATCAGCTCCGACCGCCTCTCCCTCATCACTTACATCGACGCTCTCCCAACATTCTCTCTCTCATCTCTCTCCCCCCCGTGAGACTCACGTCGTTGTCTTTCTCCCCCCCGTCTCCTCTCCATCCACGCGGTCACTCTCTCTTCATCAATTGGTCCATCGAAACGCAATCAACGACCTGCCAGCTTCCGTTTGTAAGGTTTCCCTCCCTCTCTCTCTCTGTCCCCTCTCTTACCTCCTCTCTCAGAGGCCCTTTCTCGTCCGCTTCACCCTCTTTTCTCCCTCTCCCTCCATCTCTGACTGCCGCGCTTTTTTTAAAATCCATGTTGACGATCTTTCCAAATCTGGATTTCAGAGTCCAGAGAGCGAGAGAGACACTCTATTGGGCCTCGAAGGTCACCGGGCCGCCCGGGGGGGTCGCACGCGGCGGCGTTCGCGGTGGAGGCCACAGGCCGCGCGCGCGAGAGGAGAGTGATGAATAAGTGACAGACTGGCACTCATTTCATCACCCTTTCCTCCACCTCTTTCTTTCCAATCGCTCTCCATCACCTTAATGCGCCGCTCATATTGTTACCGCTCACTGCAGCACACGCACACACACACACACACACACACACACACATGTACCAGCCACTTACGCCAACACGTGTAAACACACACCTGACGTGTGGCGTCAGGTGGATTTCGAGCGGCGGGGGGTCTTTTCAACCCCCCCCCCCCGGCAGACTCGTGCTCGACACGCTGCTGCATGTTTAAAAAGGGACGGGCCGCTGTGATGGTTTGATCAATATTGATTTGATGCGTAATCCACTGTGCTCTGCCACCTGGAGCCAGCGTATCGTTTAATTAGCGACCCCCCCCCCCGGATGGACCTCTGTTGCGATGTTGCATTGCGGCTTTTAACTGCGTGGCGTGAAGGCCGCGCTTACACGGGGTTGGTGTTCATCGGCGGCTCGAGCCAGACGCACACATTGAAGTGAGAAATGAGGACTCACTTGTCACCGTTCGCCCGCGTCCCTCAGGGCCGCTGGTTCCCGCCCGCCGTCCGGTGTCTGGACCCTGAGCACCAGTGACCCCCCGGGGAATCGCTTTTTAACAGGAACCGGCCGTGTTGTGCTGCTTGATTTGGGGGGAGATCGTGTGGCTGAACTAAACATTTCAAGTAGTTCTCGGAGGAAAAAGCTCAGGAAACCACACGATGCGAATCAGTCAGAGCTCCATCGCGGCGTCTCTGCATTGAAAAACGAACCAGTTGTTTCCTGCGAGTATTCACGTTTCGCCGTGTTTAATTTAAAGAAAGCTGCAGATTTTTAGAGGCGTCGCAGTTGCATCACGACTCTCCGGTGTCTGTTCCAGTTAGACACGGAAAAACTCGGCTTATTGCTCCAGTGTGAGACGGTATTATTTCTGAGTGAAGGAATAACAATTCAAGACTAAATGTCGTGGTGGAAAAAAAGTAATTGTACCCGCTGTTGTCTCTCTATGAACTCCCATGAAGAGTCTGCACACAATATATTATGTATCAATATATATTACTAAGTAGACATTTTCCATTTGAAGGAATACATTATTTCCATTTTCAGCAGATTTTTCTCCTTAACTCAGTTTTAAACTTCCCATCCCACTCAGTTGTCTTGGTTCCAAATTGACCTCAAAGTATTTTCCTTGTTCCGTCTTATCAGAGTAACTGAGACGTGTCCTTCAGTGACTCCCCGCTCAGCCTGCTGGGATCCGTGTGGTCAGACGGCTGCAGTGACATTAGGGAACCCGCTGCGCGATGCAGCTTCGAATGGACGTTTAATACGAGTCAACGGCCGGGGTCGCTTTCATGACCAACGCCTGTCACTTACTATCGGCGCTCAATCGCCTGACAGGACGCCATTTTCTTTGTCCTTCATGTCTTCTTCTCTGCCCCCCCCCCCCAACCTTTCAAAACGTTGCACGAGAAAGTGCTGTTTATTTCCTCTATTCGAGCGATATTTTCTATATCCTCGATGCCCTCATGAGGAATATTTAGAACAGTAGAAAAGGACACGGGGGCTGTTGTGGGGTGGAGGTAGGCGGGTCATTGAGAACCTGTGTGTGTTTTCACGATGATGAAGAGGAGTAGAGCACTGCAGCAATCTGAGGAAAGTAGGTCAGGCTGCTGAGGAACGTGGTGGAGGAGAACCTGAGGCCGGGAGGAGAGATGCAGCGGGCAGAAGCTCTCGGCACCGGCGACGATTCGGCTCTTTGGGCCCTCGACTCGGGGAACCAGTCCCGTCGCATCGGGTCCCGCCTGGAGTTCCGGGTCGGACCGCAGGAAATGAGAACAACGACAATCGATACGGAGATGACGAGTTAAAATCACTGCTGCCTGTTTGTGAAGGTCACTTCTTTGACTAAACGCTGCTCGGCTAATCTCCCCAGTAAATACAGCGGAGTCTTAAGTGTTCTGCTGGGTGTATTTCCGTCGCCAAGACACTCAAATGCGATGCAATCATCCATTTTCAAAATCAAGGAAAAGCTTGCAGAGAGAAAAACCGCTTCCCTCCATTCGCTTAGTTAGGAGGCCTCGTCCTGTGAGTATGTAGCTCTTGATATTACGTAAAGAACTTCTTACACAGATGGGCTCCACTCAGGTCTGAACTACCTCACTCTTCAGGCCATGTTTGCTGTATTATTTATTATAACGCTCAGAGTATACGGCCTCCATAAACGCACTGCGGCGCTTGTGGAAAAGGGCCACGACGGGGGAGGATTGCGCCGGTGTCCCCTCGGCGCCGCCATTGATTCATAGACGGCGGAACGGGTTGCAGTAAACAATAGTGAGCTCACGTAGATGTAGACGACCACGCCGATATTCGGTGTAAAGAAAGCAACACATGGACCAAACATGGAGCTTTAAGGCCTTGTTGTGTAGAAAAGTGCCACGTGTTGAAGGAGATGTTGAGGGCGTGAAGGAAAATGGAAAAACATTTATATCTGCTATTAGTTCTGTCTTTAACGGCTAATATAAAAACGTGTTCCATGTGATACTTAACATGTCTGAGGCTAAATGATTAATGGATTCACATTTATTACTGAAATGACTCCAAACAAATGAATATGTTTTGCTGAATAAAACCAACAATTCACAGAGCAGGAACATCTTTTAAAGTAAATATATATTTAAAGTTTGTGGTGGTGGCGCATGTGATGGTTATGCAGCAGAGTTGGACCTTAAATCAAGTGAAGGGGCATCGGGAGAATCCTCATGTAGGAATACCGTCGTCATAAATATTGTAACGTTCTTATTATTCCAACTATTTTAATGATAATAAGTCAGCTGCTTGTTGGAATGTTTGCTTGCTTGGAAAGTGCACCAACCGATTTGCACAATTTGGACTCCTTTTTCTGCTCTTTATTTCATTCCTTTCATTGGCGTTAAACGCATACTGTACGATACGATCCAGGTAACACGATCTATTATTGATCATTTCATACGTGATGGCGGGACTATCTAGCGTTCAGATTCACATTCCCCGCCAGACACAATCATACGACCATACTTGTATAGTAACTGCGACGCGGTCTTCATCGATAAAACAAGCTTCACGTGTTTTATCAATTAATTAAAGGAAAAAAATCAGATTTAGGTGATTTTCGTTTTTTCCATCTCAGAATGGCTGTAACGTTTAGATGTGAAGACCTTCGTGTCGCTGGGCCCGACAGAGTGGTGTTGTTGTGTTTGGCTCACAGATGAGATAAACAAACACTCCAGTTGTTTTTCTCTGCTGTTCTTCTTCTTTACCTCGCAGATTTATCTTGATCTGCAACTGAGTCCTCGCTTTTGTTTCCCCGCCTCCTCTTTCTAATTTCCCTTCCTCTTCTCTTTTTCCAGTACGTGGCATTCGGCTCCCTCTTCTTCATCCTCATCTCCATCTCCACTTTCTGCATGGAGACGCACGAGGCCTTCAACACCATCCTCAACAAGACGGAAAACGTCACGGTGGGCAACACGACCCGCGAGGAGATCGTGTACGAGGTGGTGACTGACAGCTGGTTGACCTACGTGGAGGGCGTGTGTGTCATTTGGTTCACCATCGAGGTCCTGCTGCGCGTCACCTTCTGCCCGGACAAGCTCGAGTTCTTCAAAAGCAGCCTGAACATCATCGACTTCGTGGCCATCCTGCCCTTCTATCTGGAGGTGGGCCTGAGCGGGCTGTCCTCCAAAGCCGCCAAGGACGTCCTGGGGTTCCTGCGCGTCGTCCGGTTCGTCCGGATCCTCCGAATCTTCAAGCTCACGCGCCATTTCGTGGGCCTCCGCGTCCTCGGCCACACCCTGCGCGCCAGCACCAACGAGTTCCTCCTGCTCATCATCTTCTTGGCCCTCGGGGTGCTCATCTTTGCGACCATGATCTACTACGCTGAACGAATTGGCGCGGACCCGGACGATCCGACGGCCAGCGCCCACACCAATTTCAAGAACATTCCCATTGGGTTTTGGTGGGCCGTTGTGACCATGACCACGCTGGGCTACGGCGACATGTACCCGGAGACGTGGTCGGGTATGCTGGTGGGCGCGCTGTGTGCCTTGGCTGGCGTGCTGACCATCGCCATGCCCGTACCCGTGATTGTCAACAACTTCGGCATGTACTACTCCCTGGCCATGGCCAAGCAAAAGCTGCCCAAAAAGAAAAACAAGCACATCCCCAGAGCACCTCAGCCGGGGTCCCCCAACTACTGCAAGCCAGACGCCCTGGCCATGGCTACTGCATCGCCGCAAAGGCTCCTGGGAAATGTCCTTGGTGGAGTGATAGGGCCCGGAGGCCTCGCGGGAGACTGTCCTCTTGCCCAAGAAGAAATAATAGAGATCAACAGAGGTCAGAGATTTGTTTGTTTCATGTTAAGTGTCCATATTTTAGCAAATATTATCTATAAATGACAGATTTAGGCGCACGCGGGGGGAACTTCAGGGGTCCGGTAGAGAAGCCAGAGAAAGAAGAAGCGATGCATAGTTGATTGTGAATCCACCCTGAAAAACCACTGGCCCGTCAGAACTTACTGCGTCTTTTAATTTATTTATGATCAACTGGTAGGTCCACAGTTGCCTTCAGGCACCCATCTGTCTGTGAGGAAGAAACAGTATGGAGGGAAAATTAACTCAATTACCCATTAAAACGGCTTAATGCATCCCAGTTTGGGCTGACTGCACATATTTTCCCTCCAGCATTAGCAGGAAAATCAGGAGGTGAGAGGGAATTTGGCTCTTTGCAGCATGCGAGGCGTCAGTCACATGCAACAATAATGCACCTTGGATGCATTATTTTACTGCCTTAGTCATCAGCGAGGCAGAAAATATTGGTTTCATCAGAGCTTTTACTACATCTCGTCTGCTTGGCTTCCTGCCAGACGAGAAAGGTTTCCTGTTGGTTGTGTCGGTAGATCTGTTTTGTGTTAGTCAACATTTTGACAAATGGCTCCAAGACTGTTCAGCAGCATCATCAGCACATTATGCAACACATTTTATCATGATGCCTAAGTGACCATGTAGTGGACCACCACAGCAGTCATTCCCAAACGTTATTTACCACTCGACATCGATGGTTTATCAATGATCACATCTACTGTTCGTATCTACACACACACATTTGGTAAATTAGACTAAATTAGTACATATTTTAATGTAGTGTTATGTAAAGAAACAAGCAGAAGAAATATGTGCATTTAAAATGGGTGAATTGGATATTTTTCCCATAATTACATTTGACATTTTTCTCCTAATCCCCCCCACGGTGCCCCTTTTAGATTCCAAGCAGAACGGCGATGCGGCTTCGGCCGCGCTGGCTAACGAGGACTGTCCCACCATCGACCAGGTGCTGAGCCCGGACGAGAGGAGCCCCATCGGGCGAGGCCCGACCCGGGAGCGCTACCAGCAGGACCGCGCCTGCTTCCTGCTCAACACCAGGGAATTCCGCGCCACAGATGGGAACGTGCGCAAAGGTGCGTTTCACACACACACACACACACACACACACACACACACACACACACACACACACACACACACACACACACCGGGAGACAGAAACCAAAAAACATGCGCATCTGACGTAAACAAGATCCAACACAGCGAGAGACGCCAGGCACCGCGCAGGCACACACACACACACTACAGCAAGACATTCAGGGAGGACAGGCTGGATGGACGGGCACAGATGAAGGATCAGCTTTGGGAGCTACAGCTCCGATCAAACACACACACACACACACACACACACACACACACACACACACACACACACACACACACGCAGTCATGCAGTCAAAACACAAACACAAGCCTCTTCTGCTTCTACCGTCTCCAACTCTACACGTTCATATCGTCTGTGTCTCCATCTCAGCTTGATATTACTGTCCCTCTACTTCTCTTGTCTCTCTTTATTTCCATGGTGTGTGTGTGTGTGTGTGTGTGTGTGTGTGTGTGTGTGTGTGTGTGTGTGTGTGTGTGTGTGTGTGTGTGTGTGTGTGTGTGTGTGTGTGTGTGTGTGTGTGTGTGTGTGTGAATATTGCTCTGGGATCCAGAGTCTCGCTCATTCATGCTCATTAACAATCTCTGTCTCCCTCTGTCCTCTGGCCTCTTAACAGTTGACCATGCATTAATTTTCTTCTCGTCACTTCTGTTTCTCCCCCTCTGTTTCTCCCCCCTTACCCCCCCCGCTCCCTTCCCTTATGTGATGACTTCCCCGCCCCTTCCTCGCTGCATGTCTCCCTCTCCCCTGCTCCACCCTTAAACCCACGCCTTCCTCGGCCCCTTCTTCTTCTCCATCGTGCTGCCACTGTAACCCCCCCCCCACCCCTCTACCCCGATGTGCATCACCTTCCTCGCCATAACCTTTATCACCCTACTACCGCAATCCAACCACAACCACCACCACCACCACCACCACCAACTGCCGCCAACGTGCCACATTCCGGCACAATCCCTCAAACGCTCCACCACAAAGTAGAGGCGGCGGCGCTGGCAGCCAGCCCAGACTCCCTTCTGACGGAGAACTGGTATAAGATGGAAGGGTCTCTGTTACAGCAGGACCTCAATGCAAACTCCACCTCCTCCTGGATCAAACCATAGACCAGAAGGTAACACCGCAAAAAAAAAAAAGAGAGAGTAAGAGTAAAGGGGGGTTAGCGGCGCCGTTAGCGCTGGTCAACTTCTGACCCCGAGAAGCGTAGGGGGAGGGCTCTGATCCGTCAACGCAGCGCGTTCTGCAGTTGCACGAGCCGCACGCGGAGGCAGACGTAGCCGCGCACGCCGCCCCACGACCTCAGACCGCCAGACACGCTGGCGTTTCCCACACAATCCAGTTTGAGGGCTCCGTTTCACGCTTCAATCTGAATATCAGCAATCGGGGGTATTTGAGGGTGCGTTTGATTTTGTCAGGTGTCTTAACCTCAGCAGGATGTCATCAAATTGTAAAGTCATGTACGAAATGTGTGTTTAAAAAAAAAAAGACATTAGACAATTAGACAGAAAATGGGATCGCTGTGTGATACCGTGACCCCCCCCCCGTGATAGAGAAGCGTTCCCACCCGCATACAGTCGTGAGTGCGCCCGCGTGGGAGGCGCGCACGTGTAAACACATCCGGCGGCTCCGGTGAAAACGAGCCAGTTGTCGTGTGTCAACAACTAATAAAGCGTAACACTGCAGAAGATTGAGCAGGAGCAGCGGGGTCACGTTGTTGTCTGATGTGCCTCTGTGTTGTTGTTGTTGTTGTCGTCTCTCTCTTCAGGTTGTGTCATATCACGCGTGTGTATGTGGCCTTTTTTTCATTCTTACGGTGTTACACACTTGCGTGTCTGTCCTCTTCAATTCCCGCGTCTTGTGTCCGTGTTGTCGTTTGTGGCTTAATTTCCTTTTATTTCCCTTCTACTGTGTCCCTTCGCCCCACGGACCTCCGCCTCGGGCAAACAAAAGCTCCCGCTGCCATAAAACAAACGATACATGTTCGGGTTAAACGCGGGTCAAATACTCAACGGCACTTGATCCTGCTACGTAATACGTTCAGGCTGAAAGGCGGGCGCAGTTACGTGTACATGTGCCAGATTTGATGTCCAATCGATTGGCCGGCCTGGATCGGTTTCACGCGCTTGTGTCACTGAGCAACGTGTGTGACGTCATCGCTCTGAGGCCGAAGGTCCCTGGGGTCAGTAGAGCCACCGGGGTCGAGGGATAGTACCTCGAGAAACATACCACGCTAAAAACACGTGAACATTTCAAACTGTTAATAACGTACTGGCTTAATTATCACTGTACTTCTTTACCAAATCGCTGTGTTGGGAGCGTGTGATGGATCTGAAGTACTACTCCCTGGACCGCGTCCCCGCCGTCCCCGGCGTCCCCGGGGCCTAGTGTAGTCCAAGGCTGAGGAGCTTGTGTATTTGTGCTGTGGAGGCCTGGATAGACATCTAAACAATAAAGCTGCATTATTCACCAGCCAGACAGACAGGTGTGATTGAAAAGCGGCTACATGTTGTCCAAGGTAAGCGAGCCCGCGCTCTCCACGCCTCCCACTCGCAGGTCGCCTCGCGTCGCTTCAGTTTCAATGGTTCCGATGTGTAAACTACAATGTCAGGCCGACAGAAATCCCTCTTTAAAGCCGATCAGGAGTCCGTTGAAGAAGTGTCTACAGTTTGATTGGGGATCTTTAATCTATAATATTTAAGATGCTTCAGTGCTTTCAGTGAATATCGCTGACATTTGACCTCTTTGCCCTCTTTGGAACCTGATTTTCTTGCACAAGCTTGTGATTTACAAATAACAACAAAACGAAGGCAGTCGATGTCACGTTCTTCTCCTCCGCCTTGTTTTTAAAGAGGGATTCTCACGCTGTGTAAAACTCCTTATCGTGTGCTTCTCCTGTGATTTATTTATTGGACCCGGATAAGATGATTTCCCTTTCAGTTTCTTTTCTTTGACTGTTGGCCATTTGACTTCCTTAGCAGAGGTCAAAAGGTCAATATCTCCTCTGGACCTTCTTCAGGGGTCGTTTCTGTCTCCTTCTCCGTCCCGCTCCGCGTTCCCTCCCTTCAGTTCCTCACTACACGTGTACTTGGTTTTTATTTTGTTTGATGTCCTTTATGTAGGTCCTCTGTTTCTAACATGCTGTGTAACTTTTGTCTTCTTTTTTGTGGAGTATTATGTTGTGGTTGTGTTGGGTTTTGTGTATCTTTTTTTGATTTTTGTTCTAAGTCTTTGGGTTTTGTACAGTTGTGATTTGCTGTTTGATATTTTGGTTCCCTTATGTTCCTCCTGTGTTCTCCTTTACTATCTGTCTGCATGGATTGAAATTATAAAAGGAATTAATTAACAAAAAGCTGTCAAAAATCCCACTGATTCAAGAAAAGAAAAAACTTATATGACAAAAAACTCATTAATCATTACTCAATTTAACCCAAAATATAAAAAACGAAAATAAGTAATTGACTTTAACAGTAAGCTCTCCATCCACATCCCACCCTCCTCCTTATTGATTTTGTTTTGCTTTTCATAATTATGAGAGCTTGTTGGTGGAATTATATACTACCGTTTTTGGGCTTTTGCACACGCAAAATGATTCATCATAGACAATTTCCACTTGACAGTTATTATTCAACTCCCCGACTGCTTTTGTGTGAAAACGTGTCATTGAAGCCGGTTCCGTACATCGTTGCCTCTTCACGACAATCAATGCAAATATTCTTCATGTCAGATTTGGAACCAAAAAAGGAACCAAAACGTGGTAACCGTGTGCGTGTGAGACGCAGGCAGTTTGAGAGGACGCACTGTGTCACCAGGAAGGTCAGTGCGTCGGATACTGGGAAGGAGGAGGTCGCGCCGTCTTTGACGGGCGATTGATCCCCGCGTGGGAACGATACAGTAACGCGGCCGTTCCAGGAATAACGTCTGAACCGTCTCAAAGAGCCCTCTGCCTTCTACGCACAGACCAACAATAACGATTGGGTCCATTGGCTCTATTTGTTTTCCCACGACGGTTTCCTTGGTAAAGAGTCTGGTCAAGAATATTTGCAGTTTTTTTCCCCTCCCTGTTCCACCTGTGTCCTCCCTCTCCATTGCCTCCCCCTGCCGTGATTAACGCTCATTCTCCATCCCGTCCCCCCAGGCCGCCGCTGCAGCGCGAGTGTAACTAAACTGTGACCGTCGGTAGGTACGAAGTCCCGCCGCAGCGTAAATGAAGTGTGACTTTGTGCAGGAATTATGTCGCCCGCTGACTGCAGCGACAGCCAGACTCACCAACCCCCCCCCCCCCCGACAGGAGACCCCTATCGGCATTTTTATTGTGGCTTTCGAGAACTTATCGTTGTCCTGAATGTCGATCATACATCAAACCGACGTAGGAACCGGCCGCGCTGGCCGCTCGCTCGCATCCGTTTGAAAATCACCAGAACCGCGTCACCGCCTCATCTTCATTACCCTTCATCAGTTTCCCCTCCATCCTTTCAACACGTGGGGAACTTTTATTTCCTTTAGACTTATTTTACTCTCATTTCACCTGGCAACTGTTTTACAGTCCCTGGTTTCAGACTAATAACATTTAGGAAAAGTAGGAACATTATTTAAAGCAACGGGGAGAACACCAGATATATATATATATATATATATATATATATATATATATATATATATATATATATATATACACACAAGATGTTTAAAGATCTCCATGTGAATGAAGCATGGTGTTCTTAGTCTTTCTATCCGGTGAGCAGTGTGTACTTTTGTCTTCTCTTCACTCCGCATGCAGATTTGTTTCTGCAGGAATAGATCCAATGGAATTTCACAGTCAAATCAAAACCTTTGGTTGTAACTGCACAAGGGAATTTCCCACAGAGAGTAATCATTATCAGCCAATGATAGAAGGATAGACTTTACACTAATGTGCTTATTCTCAACACGAAATATCGTACTTTAACGGCAGAAACACGACGTTGCATCGCTGCCATAAACTACATTATTAAAACTACTGTAGAGATTCTCCATCCAGGGAGACGGTCGTTGCCCTTCAACTCTGATTCAGCATCTGAAAAATGGATTCGTTTGATGCGACCTGACAATGTGTCTCAATTCATCTGTTGGGTGGATCTGAATTCGAGATTGAAGCAGCGCCGCAGATCGACCGGACGGCTTCTCCCGCATGTTTGTGGCACATGCAGCTTAAAAAAAAAAAAAACACTGAAAGATGCATCATCAATATTTTACTCCGTTTCCGTCCGACTAATGTGCCTGAGCTGGTCAGAGTAAAAAAAAAAAAAAAAAGGCGTTTTAGGTGGTGACGTAATCTAGAGACAACGTTTTAGCTTTGCGCTTTTATCGCATTACAAGTGAAATTTCCGCCAATCCAACCCGCTCCTAATGAACCCCCCCCTCGCCCCCCCGTGACGGATCAGTTAACCATCGATCCTGCAGAGCGACTGCAACCTCCCGGTGTTGTTTTCCACCTGGTGCAACAGCGGCCTCCTCTCTGTGGCTGCAGTGGGAGGAGGTCGACGTCGGCATGCTCCGCTGCACACAAGCACAGCGGGAAAGGACGCAAGACGCCGACGTGTTATTTCTTAGACGAATTGCTTTCGTAGTTTCTACCTCAAAGTGGGCCGTGTCCTTTCCCGCTGTAACCGGATGTTACTGGAAGTGTCTTTTAATGTTGGCCATGTGATGTTTTCAGGAACCCCAAAACTAACTAACTAAGTGGGCTGTTTGTAGTTCAACTCTATGCAAAGATTATTTCTTAACTTTAACTTTTATCACCGGGAAACTTCATGTGGTCAACTCCTACAATGTACCAGTGATTTCAATGAATGAATTGACTTCTTATTTTTGTGAACTGTGTGCTCGTGGCCAAATAGTTGTTTAAATCACCTGAACATTGCACATTTCGCTTTAAATGGTACAATGCTGGGTGCTTTATTCAACGGGTCTCTTATTGGTGTTGAGCCTCTTAATATCAGAGAAGCTTTTGCTTTGCTGTTTTTGAACGAAAAAGACAAATCATAACTCGCATTTTCTTGTTTTGTCTTGTCCTGTCTGTCTTTTGTGTGTCTGTCCTTCTACATGTCCTTATGATTTTATAACATTTTCAATTTCTTATCCTTAATTTATTCTCTCCACTTATGTGCTTCTTTTTTTATTTCGATTGATTGTCATAACATCTTAAACCTCTCGTTCATGTAATCGTCAAATCAAACACAATATGGAAAATATTCCAATCATGATCTCCTTTAATTTCACTGCTATTTGATATCATCCACAAATAATACAATCCAATTAAATCTTCTATAATTATTATTATTATAAAACTAATTATTAATCCTTGAAGCAACAGGCTATGACAAGTCTCACAGTCTGAATAACATATCGGGATCGTCCGGGTCCTCATTGCGGCTCGCTCCTATCATTAGCCCCCCGTTTGAAGCCTACGAGGCCCCGGGGCCACTGCGCCGCTGTCGCTCCCCCATTCCCTCCATTTTGTAGCAAAATAAATAAATAAAAAGGATGTTCCTGATTGGACGATAAGAGATGCCTTGGATCAGCTGCGGAACGGATTGTACAGCAGAAACAATAGCAATAACATGAAATGAACTTGAATGTAGGAAGAACGGCCCCTTGTCTTGTGAATCTAACGGTTTATGATGCACGAGTCAGGTTAGCTGATGGGGTCAAATACCAACTGTACGCTGATATAGGATCTTTAAAAGAAATAAGATGTGGATCGGTTCGTAAATAAAATAGCAGCAGAGATTAAAAGAAATGTAATTAAAACATGTGCACAGTTACGTTATACTAGTGAGGTCTAAGTGTGTAGGTGGACATCCTTTTTAAAAGTTATGGACCAAACAAAAAGCTCTCAACACTGTTCAGAGAAACGACCATAAGATGGGAAACTCTACTTTATTTAACCAAAGACATGAATACATCTACTGAAAAGGGTTCTACTTTCTGTCTTTTGTCAATGTTAATGTATGTGGCCTAAAGCGGACACATCATTTTGGTAATTCTGCCTCGACAAGACACGTTATTTTACATTGTAACACCATTGGACACTTTAGCTTTATAGTTTACACAGAGATGTAAAAAATATAAACAGAAAAATTCTGCTTTAACACTAAGACCACAAATATTCTTCAGAGAGCTATGTGAATCGCTCAACCTAACATACGTCTTTAAATTTATACTTGATTATATTGTATCAGGATCCCATGTATGGAAATGCTACCTTCTGGTGTACAGTTGAAGGTCTATTCTTTAGCATTTGCAAGCATGTTGTCTCTTATATTTCCACATATATATATATATATATATATATATGCAATCATAACAATCATAGTCCCAGACAAAAATGGGAATTTAATCAAATGCCCCAGACATCCTTTTGTTGCAAACATTGCTAAGACCTCACGAGTAGCGGCCTCGCTAGCTACACGCTAACTGCGTTTCGTCTTCCAGACAGTCTTTGGTAAAATAGCACAATCAGGCTATCAGATGCGCAGAGATTATTTTATTTTTTATGATGTTTAATGACTGAGTGGAAAGTAAATTAAATATATACGTCTAAATCTAATTTAATTGTATTCCCGAAAGCTACTTATAATATATAAACCAACATTAGATTAAGCTATTTTAAAAGTCAGATATGGATGAATACAAAATTAACAATAAACATCTAAATCTAACTATCTGTTCTGACCCATTTTTTCTTTTTTATTGATTTTTTTTCCTCTTTTATTTTTATTCAAGTGTTTCTAAAACCGTTTAAAAAAATACTAATTCAAAAGAAATGCAATCATTTAATTCTAAAAAATACTACAGTGCTCGTATTATACCATTCCCTTCAATAATCGGTTTTAGGCAATTAATAGCTTTTATTTTTGTAAAGGATGTTTTCCTCTGACTGCCATCCTCACATTTAAATACAACAAATGTAGAAGTTGAGCTAAAAATATTTAAAAAAACAGTAATAACACATTCGTGTATGCAATAAACATGCAATTTTATTTAACTGCTGGAAAGAAATGCTGTGCACATACATATATAAATATGCAGATCTATTTTCAATCATAAAGATGCACAGACTCTGTAGGCAGCCTACTTATCGTCTTTGACTCAGCTGTGAGGAGTATTATTATGACACCATGAGCCGGTTGTCTGATTTCAAGTCAGTGTTACTGGTCCTTTGAACTTCTTCCTGTCGTGACTGCCACTTTTAATTGTTTCAGTTTTGTAATGGTTTTGTATGTTTCTCTCACTTGTACTGGTAATGTGTATTTCACTGTAAGGAATGCCTTTTCTGTACTACTGATTGTCTAAAATAACGTTTCTTTTGAAAAAGACACAATGTTGTATTTAACTGTGGTAAATGTAGTGAGACTAAAAGCAAGAGCAGAAACTGTGTTTTATAAAGTGCTTTTAGAGACAAAAAATCCTTCGTAGGTACGAGCAAGTATTTAGAGTATTTACTTGTTTAGAGGAAAATCCTGAAATTCATAATCTATGGTCCCGATCACCTTTTTGTCTAAAATCGATGTGCTTCCGGACTCTTCAACTCTTGAGAAAATTAGATATGCAGTTTTGTGACTATGGCATCACTTGATTGTTGAGTCTTCTGGGGTTTGAGCGTTGTGTAGAAGTTTTAGTGTCTCACTTATAACAGAGTTGATGCATCGCACATATTCCAGACCGAACACGCAAACAGTTCTGCTCATGCTAAACATTTTCACGTTTCACCGATACGATGTCGAAAAATGACAAGGATTTTGTGTCCTCTGAAAATATCTGAAACCGCATGCAGAGCTTTTGTTTCTCCAGCGAATCGACGCGTTTTTTTATGTATAATGTCGACATAAACTGAGGGACGGTAGGGAAAGTGTGTGTTCGTGTCGATTTGTCTAGCAGGTAATGTTTTGTGAAAATGTAATGAGTACAATTACACACATCGATCCTCTGAGGTCCTCTTAGTCCACATCGGCGCACTCGTAATCTTAAAAGGACTCCAAAGCTTGGACGTAACATGTCCGTCCATCCTTAACACCTGCATTGAATTGTTCTTTGATACCACAATTAAATGAGAATGGGTGTGAGGAATGACGTCATCTCACAGACCCCTGATTTCATTTGAACATCCGTGGCTTTAGAAGTACTGTATTTGTTTACATTTGCTTTGTAACGTATGAGAATGTGATAATTGTGGTTCTGTTGAGTCTCGTCACACAGTTGAGGCTAAATCAGCCCCCCCTGACGTGCACATAGTCAAAGTAAACCCAACAGGCAGATGTTGTAAGTGCCTCTATGAGGCCCTCGTAGGCTCCCATGTCAATTTAGGATTTCATGCAAACCAGCTAGATTTAACTAGCTGAACCTTCCAAGCAATGCGTAATAGGTGAGTAGTTATTATTGAACATGTACATATCTGTATCTACACATATGAACACATTAAAGTCATACAGAATGAATGTATCTATGTATGCTTTGTGAGCGGAACCTGCGTCACTTAACCTTGACCGTGGATCAGATTCTGTTAATGGACAGATTCACGCAGCCTTTTATTTGTTTTACAACTATCATGCAATGATCTGAATTGTCTTGCCAACAGCTTCTTCTTTTTTTTGTTTTTCTGGCGAAAACTGCAACTATACAGTGGAAATTGACAGAGGAAGAGGGTGAAACGAAGAGCAGACGAAGAGCTGATGTGGCTGCGATTAAGCACGGCGTTCGTACCGACGAGGCCACGACACAAGTGTTTAATCTCCCAGTGAATAACGCGCGATGCAAGCACATGTCATTCAAAGAATGGTTTGGCAAAAAAAGGATTTGACAAATGCTCAACGTGCCGCGTCACTTTCTCGAACTTGCGCCTGTGTTTGCGTGACGTGTGGCAGAAGTCGGCCCGGGACGTAATTCTATTACTTTTGTAAAAGCATTCATGTATGTTTGTATGTGTCCATCCGTCAAAAATGTTTTTCTACACATCATTTCAAATGATTCTACACACACACACACACACACACACACTGATGTTTGCTGAGGTTTGGAGGTGGCAGCGTGTCAGTGGGTGCCGGTCAGTTTGGCTGGCGGCTTGTTTCATTCAAGTCTAACGTTTCCTTTTCTAATGTTGTCCGACACCAGTTTTACTGTCAACATTTCCTGGTTTTTGTTATGCGAGAATAACCTCTGTGGCAACGCATTGTGGGGCGTACGTCGGAGATATTAGCCTCGCCATTGCCGTTTAAACGTGTGCGTTTCATTCTGACATGCACAGTTAACCAGCCGTTTACAGGTAATGGTAATCCCTGATTACTTCCCCTATTGCACATAATAATAGTCACAGCATAAAACGCTGTTATTAAACTAAATGTAATTGGCAAATTCCAAAAAGATGAGATTGGTTTACATTAGTGGATATCTGTTGTAAACCAATCTGGTGCTCGTAATGTTACAACTTGATTGAACATGATTTCATACAAATACTGGTGATTCTGTGTGGGAATTAATGGCTTTCTGTTCTTGTCTCCACAGTGTTGAGTTTCTAGCGTTCGCCTTCTCTCTAATGACGAGTCAGTAAGCGGTAAACACTATTTTTTTGCGGCGGGAGCCACGTCCAGTGTGACAGGGATGGACGGTTTAAAGGAGATCTTTGGAGGGGGGGAGGGGGGCGGAGGTTGATTATGAATGAAACCATCACATGGTCTGCTCCTCGCACGCAGTTACAAAAGCAGCCTCCTGGAACTCCGACCACGTTTTTAACAACCCCCCCCCCTGACTGGCTCCCCCCCCACACTCCCCCCCCCCCACACACACACACCCTTTTCTCTGAAAACTGACTGAGCGTCGCACTGACACACTTTTGGGAGAGAAGAGACTCCTGATGACACATTCCCTTTGACAACGCTACAACGCGGCGGCGTCTGCAGCGCTGAGCAACTGAGCAGCTTCACACGTTTTTAAAAGAAACACTCTTCTTCACGAAGGACCGAACGAACAATGTAGCATCTCTGCTAACATATTGTAGCATTTGTTGGCTGGGAGATAACTTGACTTTATCCACCAACAGTTGGAAGAGAGGGATTTATGCATTCGGGGGATCTTTCAGATGTCATTTTCCTCTTGGGTTCCTTTCCAGCGAAGAAAAAGAGAACCGGAGTACATGAGAGACAAAGGATTGGTCTTTCAGTGCATATGAAATCAATCACAAATGCACAGTATTTACCAACACCCATACTACAGTTCCTAGTACAAGTTTAGCACTTGTGCAGCGTGTTCGCCACTGAACCAATGTCTTCCACCCTCCTCTCATCAGACTGAATCACTGCCCTCCTCGACAGTGCCGAGGTGATCAGAAATAGCACTAACTACCAAGTCGATCAAATGAAGCACATGTAGCATCAGCTCACACAGGTTGTGTTTGGCACTTACTGTACATTTAGACTCGCCTGAAACGTCCGCCAAAAGACAACGGTGGAAAAAGACGTCTCTTTATCTCTCATGTACCGCACGCGGGCTCGGCCCCAAAGTCCACGCGGGAATACCAAAGGTCCTGTAGCAAGTTCTTGCTGAATGACCTTCTGTAATGTGTAGTTTAGACTAGGAGGAATATTCCGTTTAGGTTGAGGTCTTGTACTCATCCTCTCACTGCCCATTGCCTCTGTTTGGTACAAATACATTCCTCTAAAAAGTACTTTAACTGCCGCTAGAATCGCATCCCTATATGCACATTGAAATATTACAAGTGTGTGCAGGAGCAAAAAGGCTCGAGGAGACGGAACAAAAGTCTCGGAGACAATTGTCCGTCGTCCTTCGGTATCATGGGATGTTGGTCGGCCTAAAACTGCTACAGAAACGGCGTTCTTGCCACGGGGACCGGTTTTACGTCACGGTAAACTGTCCGTTGGCTGTTATCATTCCGAATGGGACCAATCAGATAAACACAAGGCCGCCACTGCCAATCTCTAGTCGAATACTGCCCCGTCGCTCCCTCGTCCCTCTTGCCGCCAGCAAGTGCTTCTGAGGCGAGTCGATGTCAGGAGAGAGAGAGAGGACGTCCCGTTCAAGAAACAGCCCGAGAGTGGAAGTGTACAAAGAGAAAAGAAGAAAAAAAAAATCTATATTTTGATAAACAAATCAACTATACGAGGCCGCGGAAGGACGTTTCTGAGCAGAAAAGGTCCAGAATGGACTAGACGAGAAAAAAAATAAAATAAAGAGGTGCAAATGTTAATAGAAAAATTGGCATCATGAAATGGAGCCAAAGTCACGGAAAAAAAAGATGGGAGGTGAATATTTTGGTTTGGGTGAACTCGTTTTCCCCCCTCACGCACTGGGGAAATGTTTTTTGAAAGACAACGTTGCCGACAAAGACGCAGGGATTCGAAAAGATGGACGCTGAGATAAACAAATGAAGAAAAAAAAAAAGGAAATGCATTTTTGTAACTTTGTTTACCAGCATGACTAGTTTGCATGACTGTCTTTTCTGCAAGCCCTTAGTTGAAGACGAGGGTGCTAGAGGTTAAAAAAAAAAAGTATATACAAAATGAATTAAAAAATGTTATATGCAATTAATGTTTTAAAAAAGATTATAATGAAAGAGAAGAGCTATATTTTGTTTTGAAAAGTTGAAAAAAAATGTGAATATTGAAACGTGTATGTTTGCACCCTGAACTGCGCTTTGTTTGATGAAATCTCTCTGCTTCTCCTGCCCTTCGTTCTGCCACAGTTTGACCTCATCGCGCTTCGAGCGGGATACTTTCAAACCGTTTTGCCAAACCGGACCATTTGCGCAAAGGGTGTTTGTTGTCAATCACAAAGTCCATGTTTTTCCTCCTTGAATCATTTGCACAACTATCGTAGCAGCAGCAGCAGCAGTTCTAAAACCACGGCCCTCCGCACCTTCGCCTGCTTGAATACTTCTCATAGTGTGCTTGTTTTTTTTTTTCCTTTGGCAATAATACAAGCGTTGTCTCATGATTGTAGCAGGGCCAACGGAGAGTATCCTCGACGCCTCAGCGGTGGAGTGCTCTGCAAAGGCCTTGGCTTCTCCCACGGCGGGATCTCGCCCCGGGTTCGCTGTTCTGTTCCTAAGTAGAAAAAAAAAACAAAAAAACGGGAGCACAAGTGCTGTACGAGAGATTCGACACCGGCGAACAATCAAGGGGGATTTCAGGTTTGCATGGAGCCGACTGCCATTCCAAAGCTTGCGTGTGGCGTACAGGACTCAGGCGTGTTGATGGCGTGCGTGGACGTAGGTGTTTTCTTTCTAACATAATGTATTCCAGTATATAGGTAACGATAATGTGAACGCCTCACCGTGATGTGTAAAAAAACGCATGCATTATGACTCGATGGTCTCGATGGGGGCTGTGGTGGGGGTGGGGGGGTGGTGGGGTTAGCCTCCCCCGTCATCGCCTGCCACAGAGTCCAGTTCCTGACAACTATGAACACTGTGCCGTGTCGTAGAGCAGCAACGTCTTCCCTCGAGAGGCGACTCCCAGCGTCGGCATGAGCGTGTACAGGTAGCTCGTCGTGGTGTTTTTTTTTTTCGTCTAGATGGTCAGGTCCTTTCGCATTCGTCGACACACCCACCGAGGTTCCCGTGGCCCGGGCCGGGCAGCGAGTCACGTGAGCACCAATCAAAGAGACCCAGAGCTTCCAAAATGATGTCAGTGGGGTACTTTAAGTTAAGTGTTGTGAGAGCGAGAGAGAGAGAGAGAGAGAGAGAGCACTGTCCACCAAGAGGAGATTCATGTTGAAGCAAATACAAGGCCATCGTTGAGTGCTTTCCAAGCAGCTCTTCCTCCCGATTGGAATTCTAAGTGAGTTTCAGGCCCTGCTGGTCCGGGGCTCAGCTCAGGCAGCTGAACGCTCCTCCGTCCGTTCCCAGTAGGTCACGGTCGGAGGCTCACCAGAGTATTGTGTGATGTAGTCGAGGTTTCTCGGGTTCCAGAGCCTCTGTCTACTTGCAAAAAGGCTCCGTGGGTTTTTTTTTTTGTTGTTTTTTGGTCCCTCGTCTTCGGTTCTCAGCTGCCGACGTTCACGGCGGGAGGCAGTAAGAAACTACAGCGCGGCTTCGAAGGTCACACAGAAGTTCATGAATATTTCACAAGTAAACCTCTATTAATGGCGTGCAAACACCCGGTAGTTTTTTGTTTTGTTTTCACGGCCCCAAAGAAGCCGGTCGTGGTGTTTTTTCTCCCACCGTTGCGTTTTGCCATTTCCTCATTCTCTACATTGTGACTGCTCCACCAACGCCTGGCTGGAAAAAAAAAAAAGATGTCTTTCCTTTTCTACTGCTTAATACTGCCATTTGATTTACTTATATTATAACAGAGCAGGTTACAACGTTAAGTCTGTTTTATTTTGCAATCTGTTATAAAATGTCCCAAAAAAAAAAAAACCTTCCTTTGTAACACTCACGTAACCAAAAGGACAGAAAATGCTTTACATGGTAAGTAGGTGCGCCGTTAAACGGCTCCTTCGTCTCCTCCAGGTGTGTGGAAGGCGTCATGTGGTCCTCTACGATATCCCATCGGTTCGATCTGTGTGCCTGTTTTCTGTTTTTCTTTAGTTTTTTTTTTGTAAATTGAGGACACTGTATGCAATGTGCACCACGAATGCCACTGATCGACACTTACTGTACCCGAGACGCAGACGCTCTGTCATCAGTTCAGGTGATTGCAACCGCACGCGTAGTAGCTTTATGGCTCCACATAAAGGGATTCAGCGATCACGCTAATCTAAAAAGTGTTTTATTTTACGAGGTGGTAAGACCAGACTTGTTTTAGAGGACATGTTATCATACTGAATAGATTTTTGAAATATATTTAATAGCTTATTTTAATTAGAAATAATGTGACAAACACCACAAAGGTCGATATATACGTACATCTGATATTACAGGCTAGCATCATGCATTTACGTAAGCATTCCAAAGACGAAAAGATGTATTTTTCATTTCACATGCCATCAAATTGTATACCAGTGCCAGTGGTACCAGTGCCAGTGGTACCAGTGCCAGTGGTACCAGTCCACTGCGCGTCGGTCTTAGTAGGAGAGTGAATGGGGAGAGGAGGTGGTCACTGGAGTATCTGGTCCTGACTTATGCCGGATTTTATTTTTGAAATGTTGGAACACAAAGAACAACTCATCAAGAACTGTATAAAGTATATTTCAATGGAATGTTCATGATCTATCTTTTTATATTTTGAAGAAAAAATAGAAACATATCAATAAAGTGTCATAATTGAACATATTTCTACTCTTGAGACTTAAAATGTATGAATGTCAATGCGATCTAATGTGAATCAATCTCCATAACAGCTCGGATGAACAACTGACTGACAGTCATGAGATGCTTTTTCACAGACATTCAACTTGCTTAAAATCATCGAAATGAACTCAAAATAAACGGGGGAAAAAAAAAAAAAAGTGACGTCGTGCCGTGTCCGTTTGTTTGATGTCTCTAACTGACGGGATGCGTTTCCCACGTCACGCATCACGGTGATCGATCCCATCCGTCCTGAAGTGTGGACACGATGACTAAGTCTGCCGGGGGACTGGAGGACGGCGCGTTCAATCTGCGGACGGACGTTTAAGGATGTGACGTATTTTGCAACGTGGTCTCCAAAACCTGTTCGTAGAAATGTTTAACGAAAATCTTGAACATACAAATTCGTAACAATACATAGGAAACTGGCGGTGGTTAACCACGCCCCTTGAGTGAACAACATGGCGGACCATGTGAACGTCTCTCCGCCATGTTGGATTTTTTTGAGGGGGTTAGGGTTAGTATTCTATTCTTATAAGTTAACATTGATTTCTCGTTAAAAATGCAATCATAACACGTTTATTTTACATCGTTAGACTTCATGCTTACGGGGCGCAGGTCCCCGTTCACTTTGAACTGAGTGACGTCATCAGTCCGTATTTATTTAGTATGTATTGTTACAAATTTGTATGTTCAAGATTTTCGTACACATTTTTACGAACAGGTTTTGGAGCTCAGGCTGGTATTTTGACGCCGGCCTGTCCGATGCGTCTCACCAGCGACCGGCATCGAGTCGTCCTCGCCACCCGGAACCAAAAACGCATTATGGTAGTCTGTCGTTTCCAGGTCGATTGTAACTGCGGCATTATATCTGATTCGATGGCAAATAGCTGTAACTTTACCCTCCAATGTGTGAGCCACACACTGTAAAACCATAACAAGGTTTAAAATCGGCAACGTTAACCAAGGAATCGGAAAAGCTGTCAATCAGGGGACACTTGGGGGAAGCACGGCGCGGCTGAAATGGTAAATATCGTTGTCACTGCTGTTTGGAGGATGCTCACCTTCTACATGCCGGTGTGAGGAACGGAAATGTGGTCTGATGAGTCATCTGTTCGTCGTGGCGATGATTCTGCGACGGTTGGTGCAGACATCTCGGGGAAGCCGCGCGGTTTTTGAGCAAAATAACGCACAACGACAGTTTACAGAACCGGACTCGTCTCTGTCGCAGTGTGGATTCAGGTACTGAAACGACTGGATGTCATTTTGAGGTTGAAACCTTAGAAGAAAAAACCACAATGCATTCAATCAACTCTTGACGTTTTATACTCCCACACTGTAGATATCGTCAAGTTCAGCAGATTCACGCAAACGGCGTCCGAGTCATAGACAACGCGGCATTCCAGTGAGACAAGTGTTTATTCTGTGGTTGAAGGCAGCAAATGTCGGCAGAGGCCTCCTTCGGGTTTTCTTCCCTTTTGTACCAAAACGTCACCACCATCTGGTGGTGAAACGCAGTAGTGTAACTATCTACCTCTCAGGATTCACATGCACGAGGACCCAACAACAGCAAATCCGGAGAAAGCAACAGAAATCAATCATCATCATTCCCGTTAAGAAAACATAATATAAATACAAAAATAAGTGCATGTAAACGTAAATCATAAAGTCTCGTTTATGAAGGCGTGTCTGATTCGCCACGTCTGAAAAACGAGAATCGAACGACCATTTTTAAGTTTAAACATTCATTGAGTTGCCCACTTGTTTAATATGTTTTACTCTTTAAACACAAAGTCAAAGTCAGTTTCTTGGGTCGGTTATTGTTTGTTGTTATAACATTTTTATTAAAGTGCAAACTTTTGCAAAATACTATTATTAATTCCCATTATTATTATATAGTTATAACAAACAGATATTGTTTTTTGTTAAGTGGTACACATCCGAGCCGTGCTTGTCAGAGGGGGGCGACACCACGCGCCGCCGGGCGGAGGTGACATTTGATAGTGAGGTTGAAGGTCGTCTTGCCTCATAGCTAAAATGGAGGGAAAGGACTGGGAGGGGTTGGAGGGATCGAGCAGAGATTGAATTTCAACGGGACAGCATTCCCAAAAACATTTTTCAAGACTGTCAACGTGAGGCGGCGAGGGACGGGATCAGAACCTGCGTGATCCCTGAGCGAACAACTGTAAGGTTGCCGTCCGACCTGGTCAGTCCAACAGTTTATCCGGACCCAAAGTCACAGCCAAACAAGGAGTTTGTTTATATGACAGATGGACGCGATGACAGGGGACCCGATGAGCCACAGCAGACGAACAATGTGATTCTCCATCCCGCCTTTTATCACTTAGTGAGTAAACCTTCTTGTATTGCTAACTGGAAACTAACTTGATCTTTGACATCCAAAGTTGACCTTTTAATACTAACATCTCAAGAAGGTTTTGTTATGCCATGGAGGGTTTATGCAAACGGACCCTGCAACAAAACCTCCAGCACCTCACAGCCGTTCTGAGACCATCTGCTCTGAGACCGTCCACTGATGGAACCATCGCTCTGGTTTCAGACCGCGTTTGCTTTTAAGTCCAGTCGCCCCACGAGTTCTCAGGAGAGCGGTCTGCAGATCCGGCCCGGCCTGCGACACCCGCAGGGATGGACAGCAGCGACCCGCGAAAGGACGAAAGCGGAGGCGGCGGCGGCGGCGGCGGGAAAGAGGGCGGCGGGGAGAGCGGTAAGCTCCTCAAGAACCACCTCAACTGCGAGGAAAAAGGTGAGAAGGAGACCAAAGGGAACGGGACCGAGGAGAAGAAAGAGGGCCGGCGCTCCGGGTCCCTGCGGAGGAGTGGATTGGCGCTGAGCGAGAGGGTGGCCATCAACGTCTCGGGGATGCGATATGAAACTCAGCTCCGCACCTTGGCCCAATTCCCCGACTCCTTGCTCGGGGACCCCGGGCGCAGGTCGCGCTACTTCGACCCGCTTCGAAACGAGCTCTTCCTCGATCGGAACCGGGCCTGCTTCGACGCCATTCTGTACTTCTACCAGTCGGGCGGGAGGCTTCGGAGGCCCGCGAACATCCCCCTGGACATCTTCATGGATGAGCTGATGTTCTACGAGCTGGGAGAGGACATCGTGAACCGCTTCAAGGCGGACGAGGGCTTCCCCAAGGAGGAGGAGACGCCGCTTCCGTCGAACGAGATCCAGAAAAAACTGTGGATACTGTTTGAGCACCCCGAGTCGTCGTCGGGCGCACGCATCATAGCCATCGTCAGCGTCATGGTGATCGTGGTGTCCATCCTCATCTTCTGCCTGGAGACGCTGCCCGAATTCCGGGACGAGAAGGAGACACGGGAGGTAGGGGTCGTGATCAAAGTGTGTGTTCCGCAAAGCAGGATAATATAAAAGTGGTGTCGTGGGTGGAGAGTGGAGAGTTTCTAGAGTTTCCAAACCTCCCGAGGACGGAGTTGTGAATGCAAACTGAATTAAATCCAAAAGGGATAAAATAGAGATAGCTTCAACGTTGTGTCGTGAATGGGAAGTCTGGCCCAGAGTGAAACGTGATGTCACGGGAAGTTTAGGTAAACACACGCCGTGAGTACTCCATGTGTTAAAAAGAAAAATACTGACGTGTGCACGACTATTTGTGCCAATATGTCCGGACACACAGAGAGAGAGAGAGTGTGAAACTTATGGTGTGATTATTTTAGTCGACCGTTAAATTTGATACGCTCGTTTTCAGGAAGCGCTAAAGGCTAAAGGGGGCACCGGGTGTGTCAGCGGGCGGGAGGAAGACAAAGGGAAGGCCGCCCGAGGAGACGGTTGGTTGCGTCAATGAAAGCGTAAAAAAGGTCACACAAGTGACCGAACACACAGACGAAAAGGTGAGCCGTGACCCACCGGCGGCTCGGAACCGGAGACTAAAAGGTCTCCCAGAATGATAAGCGCACGTTGGGTCGTGTTAACACATTCCCGCGGGGCCACTGCGCCAGGCCTTTGCACCGGCGCGCTGCCAGGAAACTGCTGTAACCCCCCCCGGCGAGCGGCGAGACGCGACAGCGACCAAGGTTGAGACGACGGGCTCATGTTCCCCTTTCGGAGGTCTCACGCGGTTATATTTAGCCTCAGGAGAGCCCTCAGACCAACGCGCAAGACGTCCGCCTTTAGCAACGAACGCCGTCGCCCCGACGCCGAACTGACCCGCCTACGCCTGAGTCGTTGGCGCTTCCGACTTGAAGCGAAGCGCGGGAACGTTTCAAAGAGCCTCCGCGAGGCCTCCGGCGTAACGCTCACGACAGACGCGGAGGAGGGGAAGACAGGTGGACGGAAAGAGAGAGCGGCCGAGCTACGGGTGAAATTTAATGCCGTCAAATGCTTTTATGATGGTGTCAAAAGATGGTGGACAACATGCCGAATGTCCATGCGGTTTATTAGAGGATGAAAAGGGAATATCAGCATAACATGATCTACGGTCAAGTTTTGACTGGCATTTAGAATTAGATGTCATGCTATGTAGCCCCTGTGCTAAGTTAAGCTAACGCGCCGCTGGGTTTGTCTTCACATTCACGGCTAAATGATTTATAGCTTGAAGAATAATTTACAAAATGACCATCATGATTGTGTATTTTCCCTTTTGTTATAGATGTGCTTCTTACACTTTTATGTCGTTCCTGTTTCCCCCGTCTCTTTTACTCCAGGAGTATTTTTACAAGTACCACTCCCAGGCGAAGAACGTGTCCGAGAACATGCCGCTCCCGCAGAGTGTTTTCCACGACCCCTTCTTCCTGGTGGAGACCATCTGCATATGCTGGTTCTCCTTCGAGCTCTTCGTGCGCCTCGCCTGCTGTCCCAGCAAGGTGCGCTTCTTCAAGGACGTCATGAACATCATCGATTTCAGCGCCATCCTGCCCTATTTCGTCACTCTGGGGACGGAGCTGGCCAAGGACAACGACGCCTCCCCGGCCACGTCCTTGGCCATCATCCGAGTCATCCGGCTGGTGAGGGTGTTCCGGATCTTCAAGCTGTCCCGTCACTCCAAGGGCCTCCAGATCCTCGGGCAGACGCTGAGGGCCAGCATGCGCGAGCTGGGCCTGCTCATCTTCTTCCTGTTCATCGGCGTGATCCTCTTCTCCAGCGCCATCTACTTCGCCGAGGCCGACCACGCCGACACGCACTTTGTCAGCATCCCGCACGCTTTCTGGTGGGCGGTGGTCACCATGACGACGGTGGGCTACGGCGACATGTACCCGGAGACCGTGTGGGGTAAGTTGGTGGGCTCCATGTGCGCCATCGCCGGCGTGCTCACCATCTCGCTGCCGGTGCCCGTCATAGTGTCCAACTTCAGCTACTTCTACCACCGAGAGACCGAGTGCGTGGAGCACACCGAGTACAGTCCCGTGCAGGCGGGCGCGTGGGAAGACGAGGGGCGGGACGTGGAGGAAGAGGACGGAGACGCAGATTATTTTGCCGTTGAAGGCAGCTGCAGCCCTCTGAACGGGACGCTGCTGGAGTTCGGAGGAGGTGGGACGGGTCAGACTGAACCACAGGTCACTCAGGTGTGAGGAGGGAACGCAGCGTGAAAAAAATGACGAGGTGAATGCAGACAAATGTAATTTAAAAATATATAGTAGAATTATAAATATAATTTATATGCTAAAGTGCCAACTCTGTACTTTTTATCGCCTCTTTTTATTCTGACAGCTTTTTGTATAATATCGAGAGTGAGTTTTACATTCTCAGGGTCTTGATATAAATATGATATGAGAGGTTATTTATTAATGCGATCAGAGCTTGGGTTTGAAAAGAAAATACTTTGTGAAAATCTGTTCTGTAAGTTGAAACTTTAAAGTCTTAGTGATGTCACTTCTTGGCTTAATGTTTGACGTGGAAGCAGTTAGAATATTGGCAAAAATAAATGTCAGGTTTCCTCAAAACCAAACCGAACACCAGCAGAACTGTCGCTGCCTCGCATGAGAGTTCTTGTAAACTATTCTCATTATTCTTCTGTAAGCAAATGTACATGTTTGTGTAGTTTTGATTCATGCGGCCAGAATCGAGTGAAATAACCTTTGGCATTATCCCCGTTAATGCTGTAACGACACAACGTTACAAACAAAACCTGTCGATTGCTTTTTACCTGCTTAACTATGCACCCAGTGTTTTTAATAAAGATTCCATTTCTACTAATTTTCTTGAAAAACCAAAAAAAGCCACGTGACTGCCGGTTGCCGGTTGCATTTAGCAGTGTTATAAAAATACAACAAATAATCCCTTACTGCTTAGCCGGCTGCATCTCTCACGCGAGTCTGCCAGATCCGGTCCGAGTCACACATTCGCGGCCGACCTTTTCCACAGCCACTAAGCCGCCGTAAGTAGCTTCCGCTAACGTTGATCTCGGTTTCACTGGAACACTTTCCACAACATGGCGGTGATGACCCATGGAAGGTATGCGCGCCAACGTAACAACGTGTAAATGGGTCCGGCGACGTGTCGTAGTTTGTGTTACTGGCGGCAGCTCACCTCCCTCCCCCCCCCCCCCCCTGAAGGTAAATGAATAAATAGAGACATTTTGCAGAAGAGTGAAGCTAAAATCAGCACTGAGGATGTACGTTGAGGTCAAATAAAAGCGGTAGGGTGAAAAAATCCATATACATACATGTACATTAGTACATCAGGTACCATATTTATAATTCTTGAGGAAAACTTATTTCCTCCTGCATGCTAATGATCCGGCCAAAGAGCAAAAAGAGTTCTGAATTGAACATTTTTGTCTGTGGAGCACTGAGCATGCGACTGGATATTCGACGCTCAGGTTTTACTGCATGAGTTTGTTGACTCTTTCGATGCAGGTCAGCTGCTGCTGAACTCACCTTCATCTAACTGCTTCATTTCATCAGTGATTTAACAACAACCAGATGCTTCGGGAACCGTGGAGGCATCCGAGAAAGAGAGATTTCTTTAACATTCGATTTAAAATGTGATCAATTATAGAGAAATCAAGCAAATTGCAGTTGTATTTATTGGTTATATTGCTGCTGTAATGAGCGTATATTACCGTTAGCCGAAGCTCAGTAAAGGTTAACGTTATTTACTGAAACAACAGTTTGGGCACGTTGTAGGGAAACGCCAACCGGTTTGATGCACAATGTGACATCTGAGGAAAGGTATGCGAGACTCACTTCTCACACACGCCTCTGATGAGCACCAGAGCCCATAAACCAACACAAGACATTTGTTTGACTTGTCCAGCAGAGCGCGCTCTCGCTGCCGACATCACGCATCGCACGACACGTTCAGACAAACAAAGTGGACGTTCATATCGTGTTTATTTTCATTCAGAACTTCGCCGACTCACAAACGTCCTCTCAAAGTATAAAATCCTTAAATAGCCATTAGAAATAGACCACACACACACACACACAATAAATAAATAAGTTACATATCTCTGTATGTTCATGAGAAGATTGTTGAGAAGAAAAACGTAATAATTCCACATAGAAAAAAAGTTCCCTGATCGATACAAAATACATCACACGTTAAGTTACAGATCCGTCACATAAAATCTCTTTACTTCTCCGCCGAGAACTGAGGACTGACCACAGTGTTCAGGCCCATTCCAAGAAGATCCTCGGAGTCCACGTTGACGTATCTCTGATTGCTCGGTGGCTCTTCGATCACGCTCTCAGCCTCGGGGGCGGTCCGGATGGGTAGGAATCGAGTGAAGGGCACCGAGTTGGGATCCGGGGAAGGCCTCGACGCCAGAGACAGCGGGGACCCGTGCTGCGAGGACAGGAACCGGGTGTAGCCATCCCCCAGCAGCAGCTCCCTGAAGCTGCAGTCGGCCTCTGAGTACGGCCCCTGGGAAGGTGAACGGGTGCAGACGGTCAGTAACCGCGGGAAGGGCCACAGGACCCTTTTTGGAGAATAAAGTCCTCTGGCTCACCGCACCTGTCCTCTCAAACGGCCCCCGCTGTCCACGCAGAGGAACATGGAGGAGGCCTTCCCTCTGATGACCACGTGGCCCGGCTGGATAGATTTCAGCTGCAGCACACCTGCAGCCACGGAAACACCAATGAGACCACGGATGAGCCAGTGCACAGAGGGAACGCGTCCTTTTGCGCAGCCGATTCGCCTGGCAAACACTCACTGTAAGTGGACCGAGCGTCGCTTCCCGACACGCTCCCGTCCAGAGCGATCTGCAGGTACATCGCTCTTCTGTGATTCTCTGCAACGAGAAATAAAGTGGTCAGGAGTCTTTGATTGTGTTATAGAAGTGACTGAAATGACGAGCAGGATTTGAAGGATACCTGTGTAGAGGTGCACCTCTTTGACTTGATTATTGAAGGGTAGAAGTGGGCTGGAGTCAGTGAGATAAAAGGATGAACAGAAAGGAAGTGGGACCATGAGGAGGAGAGAAGACAGGCAGGAGAAGTGACGTGGAAACGAAAACATTTGGAAGAAAAATAAGGATTCGGGAACGCCGAGAAGAAAAAAAAAAAAAAATAGCGTAAGAAGAAACGAGGAATAGCTTATGAAATAAATAAGAAATGTATCGCTCTGCGGGGAGCGAGGTCTTTTCAATAAATTTCTAAACTGGAGCGAGTTTTGTGCCCTTTTATAAAGCAGTTTGTAGAAGGAGGTCCGGCTTCCTGAGTGTGTGAGTCAGACATTTCTACATACTCCTTAAACACTATGTTTGGGCTTCTTCCTGTCCATTACAGTAAGTGTGACCCGTAAGGTCGGGAACTCATAAAACACACACGTATTTATTCAATTTCTCTTAATGTTTCCAGTACTTACGCTTGTCGAGCAAGTAATTAAACATGAATCAAAGCCCTCTGAATAAAAGTGTATTATATATATATATATATTACCTACATATAAAGAATGTTGTGTGTTGTACATTCAGTTAAATTTTGACACATTTTATTTCCAAAAAACCTCGGAGATAAAGAAAATAAAGCATACCCCCCCCTCTCATACCTACGTGCTGTGTTTTTCATTTCAAAACATTTATTACCTCGGATTTGTTCCCCAATGATCAAAAGAAAACCTGGATGAAAGTCAGGTTACATTTTCATTCGGGCCTCCGCTTCAAAAACATACAAATTTCACAACTGCCAGACGGATGTGACACAAACAAATCTCTCTGCGTCATCTGAGTAATAAATAACACTGTTTATCTTTTGCGCGTTGGAAAGAACAAACAGGGGTGAAGCGGATTCCAGCGCAGAAGAAGTGTTTACGGGACTGCAGCTGTGTGACGTCAGCTCGTAAACTCACGAGTTAAAGAACACGCTGCGTCACCGAGACGTCGATCTCTCCTTCCACAAGCTCCACATCCTCCACAAGCTCCACAACCTCCACATCCTCCACATCCTCCACAAGCTCCACAGCCTCAACAACCTCCACATCCTCCACAACCTCCACAAGCTCCACAAGCTCCACATCCTCCACAAGCTCCACAAGCTCCACATCCTCCACAAGCTCCACATCCTCCATATCCTCCACATCCTCCACAAGCTCCACAGCCTCAACAACCTCCACAACCTCAACAAGCTCCACAGCCTCAACAACCTCCACATCCTCCACAAGCTCCACAGCCTCAACAACCTCCACAACCTCAACAAGCTCCACATCCTCCACAAGCTCCACAGCCTCAACAACCTCCACAACCTCAACAAGCTCCACAGCCTCAACAACCTCCACAACCTCAACAAGCTCCACAGCCTCAACAAGCTCCACAGCCTCAACAAGCTCCACAAGCTCCACAACCTCAACAGCCTCCACAAGCCTCCACTCCCACAAACCTCCACAAGTCCACATCCTCCACAAAACCTCCACATCCTCCACAAAACCTTAACACATCCTCCACAGCTCCACATCCTCAACAACCTCCACAAGCTCCAGTAACTCACAACCACACAAGCCTCCACACCTCCACAAACTCCACATCCTCCAACAACCTCCACAGCCTCCAGTACTCAAGTACAACAACTCCACAGCCTCACAACCTCCACCATACCTCCCCAGCCCTCCACAACTCACATCCTCCAGTACCTCCACAGCCCACAACCTCCAACCTCCATCCTCCACAACCTCCCACTCAACAACCTCCAGAAGCTCCACTCCTCAAGCTCCACACACCTCCAAATCCTACACATCCCAACAAAGCTCCACATCCAGAACCTCCACAGCCACACAACCTCCACATCCTGCACATCCTCCACAGCCTCAACAACCTCCACACACTTAGTACCTCACAACCTCCACATCCTCCACAACCTCCACATCCTCCACAGCCACCAGTGCGCTTCATCTGGCTTCTGATGCCGCTGCAACACCGACGGTCGACTTTCATTTGAAAAATTAAAAACAAAAGTTTCATTCATTGTCGTTATTAATGTGACCCCCCCCCCCCCCCCGGAGATTTATTGGGTCTGTTTCCACAAGAGATTTGAAACTTTAATATGATTTAGTTAGATTAGTTTGTTTTTATATCTGTTAACAATTAAAGAAAGATGAAAATGGGAAAACAATTTTCCAATTTCTTCTTTTTACTTCTAAGTACTTACTGTAGCATTTTTTTAATCACAAAAATACACTTTTGTTTTACATGCTGTACTTTTCCATGTCACTGTTTTCAACATATTATGATGTATTATTTACTCATGCATTCCCATTACAACATCTTCATCCCTGCAAAGAGGAAACTGCAAATAACTCATCCAGTAGCGTTTTACAGGTATGTTTTTTAATTACAGCTTTTACAATCATTATCATTATTACTGTATTATTATATTCAATTATCATCACTACTCATCAATAATAGGAATTTAAATCATAACACTTTTTTTGTCAAAATGTACACATACAGGTAGCATATCTTTAATGTCCATAATTTAAAACATATTTCCTTTTTCAACTTAAAATTAAATTACAGTCAGTCTTAAAACTAAGTATGAAATGAACATACAGTTAATTACACACACACACACATACGTACTGTACATACATACAATAGTAGTTATCATTAAAAAAATGATAAAAATAAAATACACACATTTTACAAAGTCCCGACCCAAGCGTTCACATCATTAGATGATTGATATCATGATGTTCACTCTAAAATGTTGGATTTTAGCATGCATATTAACACAAATGCTTAGTTCTTTTTTTTTTTCTTCTCACTTTAAACAGGATTTTGTCTCATTGTCCGTTCTATTCACATTTGTGCATCTCATGTCTGTTCATGTGCTTAAGAACATACGTTTAACTCCCTCACCTTGAACAACACTCTCACCAAAACTCCCAATGTCGTGTGTGTTTCTACTCGCCAGAGTATGTTCTATCACCTCTACGTTCTACCGTCTAAATCATAGTAAGGTCACCTGAAAGGATGCGTGATGGGGCATCGTCCTCTCCACCTCAACAGGAATGCAGTTTTACATTTTAAAAACTATAAATTCATTGTGTCAATATTGCCATCTCACGCTCAAAAACACAATAGGTGATGGTCACTGTCTACAGGCCACTTTCTACAGAATCATGCCACAGCTATGGATCAAGGGAGGGTGAGAGACAGCGAGAGAGAGAGAGAGAGGGGGAGGGGGGGGGGGGAGGACAGATGGATAAACACACAGTCACTCATTATTTTAACATTTTCTAAGAAATCATGTACTCAGTGTCTTTGATTCTTCAAGAAATCTCACTCAAATGTTGTTGATCATCTTCTAGTGTCCGTTTTTTCTATTTTTGATCCTTCAGGGTTTTCTCCAAAAGTGTTTTTTTTTTCCCCGTCGGTTAGGAAAGAGGTGGTTTCTAAAAAATGGAACAAAACACGCAAGAACTGTGAAAGCTCCTGCTGAGGGGAGATGTTTGATATCGTGTTCACACACACGCACTATATTTAGCCACAGAGACGAGCATCAGAGGTTTGTTTCTTCTCACCTGGTGTGCTTATCTTTTAGCAAGAATACGTCCTCACGGACCCCGACTCTCCTCTGGGACCTACTGACGGACAAAAGGAGGCAATTAGTGAATACGACTCCCAGTCGAACTGCGAGAGAAGTTAAAACCTGATCACATCAAACAGACACTGCTTAACTTTGCTTGCGGTTGCATATATTTTGTGTCTAAATAATAGTAGGAATGGGTTATTTCAAATTCGCTTTTTGTTCTTGGTCTTTAAAACGTTACTTTTATCATCTTAACAGGAAGAAACCACTGCGTCTCCTCACCTTCACTCTGGACCTTTCTCAGGGTGACGGAGGGGGTCGAGATGGCGGAGGCACGGAAGTTGGCGGGTAATGTTTCCGAGGAGTCAGAAGTCACGCCCCGGAGGTCTTTCTCTCGGAACATCTTCCTCCATGATGGTGACCGGGTAAAAGGTTTCGTGCCGTCCTGTGGAGACAAGAGTGAAGAATATCTATTTCATCTATTTGATTTATTAAGCAGTTATGGGCCGTTGCTCTCTTACAAACACAGAGATGAGGAAATGATCTGGTCATGTCACATGTGTACTGTACATCCGTACAAAAGGCCAGAGTAGAAGGTTTGGATCAAAGTCTTAGCCCTAATACAATCATCACAAGCTCCCGCCTCGTAGATAACTGGTGGTTCTCTTGAGTGATCTTCTCCTCGGCCGTACCTCATCTGGCCTCCTCTCGGTTCCCATGGAGATGAGGGCGTTGTACTCCTTATCCAGGACCTGCCTCGCCTGCAAACGAGGGACAAAACAACCTTGAAGGTCATAACAACATCATTCAGGAGTTAAAGGTTGGGATCGTCTCGGCTTCAGGCACGTTGGCACGGAAACGTGGGTGCGCAGTGGAGGACCTGTGTGTTCTGGTTGGGTATCTGGAGGAGGAGGCCCAGGTCGGTGTAGTCGAAGGTGTCATCCAGCGCCAGCAGAGCCCCGTGCACGCCGCTTTCTAACAGATTGTCAGCAAACTCTTTCAGGCCAATGGACTGCACCCAACACATCACCCGCTCGTTGGACCACACCATCACATCTGCGGAGAAGGACGCGAACGCGCACTCATCAGCGGGACACCAAAAGGCCTCAGGAAACGTCCGCTCTGACGTCATGCGCGCGGCCTCACCTTGGTTCTGGTGTTGACTCTCGTCTCTCCTCCTCTCCAGCTCCTTCCTGTCGTAGTTCAAGCGCTTCAAGCACATGATGCCGTAATGGAGACTCACTCTGCGGGCGGGGTGAACACATCGCTCAAATGCTCAAATCAAATAGTGCAGAAGAAGAAGACGGGAGGGACTAGAGAACGTGAATGGATACCTGTGGAAACTGTCCACCATCTTCAGCTGGCCCCTCAGCTCTTTCTTGGTGAGGTGATCGAGCATCCGGGCGTCAACCAGTGACTCCATGAAGTAAGAGCGGTACTGGGGCAGACCCAGGCTGGGCAGCCACTCGTTTCCCACCCACTCGTGGTTCATGTCCCCGTAGGCCAGGATCTGGAGGACGGAGGCGAGGTGCAGGTGAGTAGAGCCGACAAGAACCTTCCCTTTCTTCCATTATTCAGCCTACTGAAGAAACCTTGAAATGTTATTCCGAGTATCTGTTGCTCTCCACGTACCTGGTCCCAGCTGAACTCCTTCTGCTCCTTGTGTTTCAGGCAGAGAAGTAATTGAAGAAGATAAGGAATAGATTGTTGCAAAGGGGAGGAAAGATCACCAGGGGTGTGTGTGTGTGTGTGTTACGGTGGATCAAGGCGGAATGAAGAAGAAGAGGGAAGGCAGAGGGGGGAAAATATTTGTTAGTGAGTGAGAATTAGTGAGAAAAACACTACATCTAAGCAGAATTGGGGGAAACAGTAAGGGAAAGTTGTAGTCAAACATGCCTAATAAGAAACAAAGAAAAAGAAAAAAAACGTATCAATGTGATAAGAACTCCGAAAATATGAACAATGAATTATCTTACATGCCTAAAAAACGGAAAATATCAGGTGATTTTATCAGAACAGTTGAGTGATAAACATAAATATTAATCAGTATCCTAAAATAATGAATTCTCTCGATATTTTATATGAAATGTAATATACTTACTGGCTTGGTGGCAGCAGTGAGAGACTCCATCTCGGCGTGTGTCATCCAGATGTTACTAGTCGACTGCAATGAGCAAAACACAACATCAGTCGGTATTGAGCCGGCGGTGAGAATGGCGTGCTGTTCCGCTCCCTGAGCCTTACAGAGCGGGTGCTCGCAGGTGCGGACGGACTGGTGAGGGACACCATCTCCTGGATGGCCAGACGGAGCTTGAGCCGGTGCAGAGGGTTGCTGATGCCGATCTCCCGCTGGATTTCTGTGTCCGACAGGTTGGCCATGATGGCGCCGCTCTTCACGTTGGCGCGGCACGCTGCCACGTACCACGCCGGCATCCCGACCCACAGCTGGATGAAGGGGGGGAACGCGTGAACGAGGCTCTGACAACATTGCTAAACCCTTATAATTATCCTGCGCTGCATGTCTATAGAATGTCGTCTTTGTCGCCACGACGTACCTCGAGCCACGTAACGACGGTCGGGCCGTCCCACGAGGCGAAAGGGAGGCCCTGGCGACACGCTTCCTCTAACAGGTCGTGTCTGGAGGGGGGAAAGCAGGGGTTTCTGTAAAGAGGAACGTCTTCCAATCTCACTCCGCCATTTTCACCCTCACGAACAACATGGACATCAAAAGCCGGAAGGGTTCAAAGGTCAGGGAGCGTCACGAGCGGTGAAGCGGCTCTGCTCACTTCTTTTTGCTGCGGCGGTCTTTCTCCACTGTTCCGGTGCCGAGTTTCGCCAGGCCCAACGGGTCCGCCGAACCCAGGTCGTCAGACGGCGTGGAGGCTGGTCAAAGGGTCAAAGGTCAAATGTTATAAGCAGCAAAATGACACCACCTCACTGTTGTTGATTCTTGGTTGGAACGAACGAGTCGCGTTTTTTCCAACTGTTCACAAACCCAGAGAGGACGACTCGCGGCCCTGTGCTCCGATCCGCCCCTTCTCCTTTTTGCCAAAAAGACGACCGATGGACGACTTGATGCTTTTCTTTTTGCTGGCTTTGTGGAGGGAATCCTGGCTCGCGGTGGTAGAACCGTCTGCAGAGAGACTAAAACCACCGAAGAAAGGTCCAGAAAGAGGTTCGTGAAGTCAAGTAAGCCAAATATCTACTGATTACGAGAGAAGCTTCTTTACCTGCGAAATTCACGGAGGTCATCGAGTCCGGCCCCCGGGTGGGTGTGCGTCATGCGTTCCAATCGCAGGGCTCGAGGAACGGAGGGAGGGTTGGAGTCGATCAGGGCGAGCGCTCTGCATTCCTCTCCGTCTTTGCTGTTCTGCAACGGAGGGGGGGAAAAAAAAGAGAGTTTTCTCAAACCGGATCTTCTTGAATCGGGTCGAAAGCACACGAGCGGGTCGCAGCCGCGGCTTCGGCGGCGGTACCTGTCGGTCGGTCTCCCTGGCGGGCGAATGGGGCAGGCGCGGGGTCGAATGGCCCGAGCTGGGCGGCGAGGGGGAGGCCAGCGTGGAGGAGGTGATGGAGGGAGTCATGTATCCCCTGCCGACGCTGTCCCGTCCTCCCAGGGAGGATGGGGGGAGAGGCGAGGCGTCCAGGGCCACGCTGCTGACCCGGCTCTCGATCTCTTCCGCCCTCAGCTCCGTGTTTTCCTTCTCCTCCTGAATCAGCCTGGGAGGAAACGGGGGGAAGGCTTCGCTATCTTTGTCCCATCAGAATGCCGCGGTCAAAGACAGACAGGCACAATTTGATTTATACCCCAAATCCAAAGTGTAACTCACTTGATCTCCTTGTTGATGGCCTCCAGTTGCTCCTGTAGCATGATGGCCAGAGTCTGCACGTCCGTCTGTCCGCTGGGGGACAGCAGCTCCGATCCGAACAGCGTCTCTCGATCGTCCTCGTCGTCGGAGCAGCCTCCGTCCCCGCCTTCGAACCCGGGGCCCAGCATGGTGCCGCTGTCCCATTCTCCGTACTGGAAAGACGGTGAAATGTAAGAAAGCGTCGCCGCGACCACTGATCACGTCGGCGTCGTCGTCACGAGATCGGCACCTTGTTGCTGTCGTCCCTCGGCGCCCCCCAGCGGCCCCGGTGGGTTCGCCTAACCACCACGCCGCCCGGGGAGTTGCTGTAGCCGGAAGGCAGCGAGCCTCCGCCCTGCGGGTACCGCAGCTCCGAGGCGCTGCCCGGGAGGGATCGCCGAAAGAGGGTGGAGGGAAGGGAGCTCACGCTGCCCGCCCTGTGGTGGGGAACGCAATTCCTACTTGAAGAGGACACTTTTAACCATTTCCAGGGTAAAAACAATCACAGCAGAGGTTTGTTGAAAACGAAACCATTCTCTCAATACCCATAAAGCATATATTTGCATTCTGTTGGGCAGAAAAACGCCCTGTAGGTGTAGTATAAATAATTCATTTGTGAAATAGATTTTAGTGAAAGTAGACGACAGTTTAACGGGGGGGAAAACAAAAGCTTTTGCTCACAAAGGGCTGTGCACATAAACGATCCCTTGGGAGGCTTTGCTTTCATTTGGGCATTTACAAAATGTAATGCATGAATAAATTCCCTAAAATGTTGAGCGCGGCAAACCTGGAATAAGAAGCGCCGGGTCTGCCCCTCAGCTGGTCCAGCTCGAGCTGGATTCGCTCCAGCTCGGCAAGGAGTTGCTCCTGAAATGAAAGAAATACCATAGTACAAATAAAACGACACACAAGTTTATACGGAAGAAAGTGCAACAGAAAATTGTCGTATTGGATTAAAGGTCAGTGTCATTAGCCGGTGATAGTTACAACATTTCTGACCTTGTTGGCTATAAGATCATCTTGGATTTTTTTCATATTGGACAGTTCCTCCGAAAGAGCATTCTAGGAGAGCAGACAAACGAAAACACAATGTTTAACCGTCCTCGTCTTATTTTTTCATTGTATCACAAAAATCTTCCCCGCGGCGCTCGTTAAAGTCTCCCCGTCACCTTCTCCTCTAGCGCCGCCATTCTCTCCTTGAGGTGGAGCTGCAGCCTCTCGTTGGACTCAGACAGAAGCTTGTCCACCGTGTCAGAGAGGCGTTTGTTGTGCTCGTCGTTCATCTTCTCCCTCTGCCTCGCCTGGAGTCAAGCAGCCCGTAAGACTCGACCGACCGATCCGTAAAACGTGAAATGTGAATAACGAATGAAGTTACCCTCTGCAGCTCTTGGTTCTTCTCTTCGAGTTGAGCCTCCATTTGCCGTAGTCGCTCCTCAAAGTTTCCGTGGCGCTCCTCCGCCTGCATCAACACAAGCGCATTTTCTAGACGGCACCCACCCGGGAATAAACCAGGTCGGGGAAGGTGCCGGATGTGACTCGCACCTTGTTGAGAGCGGCGACCCTTTGGGCCAGCTGGGCCTCGATCTCGGGCAGCGTCTCCGCCCTCTGCAGGGTCAGCTGGAGCTTCTGCTTGGCTTCGTCCAGACGTTCCTGCAGCTGTCTGTTCTTCTCTTCACTCTGCAGACGCGGACCGGAAAAAAACAAAAAACAAACGTAAAACACTGCAAGTGGTAAGCGGACATTTCTGAACCATCCCTCACCTGTCTGTGCAGCGATTCCTTGCTTGCCAGCTCATTTTCCAGCTTGTCTTTGATATCGTGGAGAGAAGTCGCCTCCCTCTGGGCGCTGAGGTACCTGCATTCAACAGCAAGACAACATGAATTATTAGAGCCGCGGTTCCCTAAAACATCCGTGTTGTTTCAGGCTACAGGTGAAACATGTGGTCCTTCGTGCATATTCATTACAGCGGGTGTAAGACATTCTGGCTCCACGTGAGAGGAGAAGACTAAAGAAGAAGTTACCTGCGTTCTAGTGTTGTAATCCTTTCCTCCATGTCCTCCCTTTGGCAAAGGGCCTAGACGAAGCAAAACGTGTATAATGCAATTCCTTATATAGACGACATGACAGTTCTTATTATACATTTAAGTGCTACCCGATGGCAGGAGAGAGACACGGCATATGTAAGACATTCAAATACAATGTTCTCTGCATTTATTTAAGACTTATGTGTCTTTAGCCACGCTGAGATGACAGTAAATGAACCGTATAACATGCGAGTTCATACATACATGGGAGCCCAGGGAACTAAGGGAGCTACGGGTCTCGGCTGGGAAGAGACGCCGCGTCCATACAGACCTCTTTCACTTCCCTTTGGAGCTTCTGATTGGCCTCCTCCGACTTCGTCACCTCCCTCCTGGCGGCCGCAAGCTGTTCCTCTATTTCGCCAACCTGTCGGGACACACCGCAAAGGGGCGCGGGACCACGCGGGGGCCGAGTGAGTCCGTCAGCGGTAAGTGTACACAGTCACGACGAGTGATTCATCGCCTGGTCAACGCGAGATTCTTCAAAAGCTTCCCTGACCATGAGTGAGTCTGACGCACCTCAGTGAACCAAAGATTCGCTTTCTATTAAATCATTCCATCAGCTGACCGGAGTTTTTTTTTTTTGCATTTAAGAAGTGACCTAAACACCTTTAAGGCAGGTACACACAGTACGACTGTGACTAGATTCAAACGGCGTCTCGTTTTCAGTAAAACGTTGGCTCTTTGGAGCAGACGCAACGGTGTAACTGGCCACAAGGGGGCGACTAATAGACGTGCTGTACACACCACTACCTCCCTCCGCTGCTGCCATGCGCCGTTGTAACCTGAGACGCTCCACTCACTGGTCAACGGCGGGACACATTTACAGGAAGAGACGCTCACCTGCCGGCACATGAGGGCCAGCCTCTCCTTCAGCTGGGAGAGTTCAGCTCTCTGCCTCTCAATCTCTCCTTCCCGCTGCCTCTCCAGCTCACTGTCCTCCAGGCCGGTGGACGGGCCGTTGGGGAGTCGCTTCGGGGACGACAGTTGAAAAGGAAATGAGTGCGATGAAGAAAGACGACATCTACTTTCTGTACGCCAACACACACACACCAAAACAACTGGAGCCAACAGGCACAAAACCCTCCCTTACATCTTTCCCGCCGTCCACCCCTTGTTGACGTCTTTTTATTTGGTCTCTTAAAGAGATTACCTGGGGACGGGGAGACAGAACGGACAAACGGTCAACACCAATGAACGTTCACAATCAAGCGCCCTCGAGACGCACAACGTCCTCTCCCTTTGAGCCTCACCTCTTGAGATGACGACGCCAGTTGGTCCTCTAGCAAGGAGACCCTCTCGAGGGCCACACGCAGCCTCTCGCGAACCTGCAGCGAGCACCAGGAACAGCCACTCGTCAGTTGGTTTACAAATGAGCATTCGAGCTGCGTGTGTGTTGATTAAACAGAGCGGCTCTGACGCAAACATTTTTCCTCGACCCTTCTGGCGAGAGCAGGAGAGAGCGAAAGAGTCCTCAAACAGTTCATGAGACGGCGAAACACTCACATTGGTTTCTTAACCAGAGGAAGATAAAGTGCATGTCGGAAATAGTGCATTTTCATTCAGTATTTTAGTCGAGATCATCCCGCCGAGCTGAAGCGTTACAGTGCAGGTTTTGATTCATTTTGATCAATACTTTGTAAACTAGTAGATAGAAAAGTAGTACAGCGTCGCATTGTGTCATTAAAGCTCTTCATATTCTGTATGAAACTGTCAGTATCAAAAAGAAGATGAGCTAAGTTTGCTAATGGAAGAGGGTTGAATTAGAACACAAGAGATGTTATTCATGAAGGTTTAGAACCATGAAGCAGGACGTTTGTATTTGAAGATACTTGGTTTGGCTACATGTTACCCGATTTGGTTATTGGTTTCAACAAGACATTTTTGCCGGTCTGCCGCTCGGTGTTTGTCAGCCAACGAAACCCAGTTTCAGCTGCTCCACTAAAATCCGCTTCCCTTATTCTCCACTTTCCCCATTTAGCTGTTTGACGAGGCGCTGACGCGCAGGTCGCCGCGGCGGACCTACCTTCTCGTCCAGGGCCTTGTGGTGCTCAAACAGAGACTTGAGGGCCTTGAGGACTTCCACCTCACTGGAGACCCCCGCCGGGGACTGGGCTTGTCTCTTCACCACCGTCATCCTCAGACTGCGCTCGTGACGGGACACCAAACACTCCAAGTGTTCAAGCAACAGCTGCAGGAGCGAGTGGGTTGAAAGGGAAGGGGGGGCAGGTAGGTGGCAGGTGAAGGCAAAGAGGTGGAACGGAAAGAGAGAGAGAGGGAGTTTAAAAGGATGGAGACGCCAAAGATGAGGAAACAGGGAGAACGAGGGGAGGGAAGCGAGAGGGACAAAGAAGAAGGAGGGGAGAAGGAGTGGAGGGGTTTTTAAGCGGGACAATGAGATTAAATCGTGAGGAGAGCACCTGGTTGCAAAAAGGGACAAGGAGTGAGTGGGCGAGACAAGGAAAGCAGATACGGACCCAAAAAGGAGTTATATAGAGAAAGTGTGGAGCAAAGGAGTAAGAGAAAGAGGGGGAGAGGGGGGACACACAGGCTGCTGCGGTGCTAATAAGCAAAATGGTCCTCTAAACATCTTACACGCGTGTTGTTTCTCTCCGCCTTGAGCTCGGCGATCTCCTCCTCTCTCTCCAGGAGCTGCTCCCGGCAAACGTTCAGCTCTTTGGTCAACACGGCGAACTCCTGCGGAAACACGCGGCCCGAAGAGTCAAGAGAGTCGGCCCACCGGGATTCCAACAGCACGCGTAATATCGGTATCAGGCAATCGGGTGAGCGTGGACATGAAATACGGTCAGCTGCACGTATCACGCGCAACCGACGCATGACCCCCCCCGTGGCGTCGAAACACCTGAGACCCGGGTGGAGGGAAGATGCAGATGGTGTAATAAATGGTGGAAATCACTGACACGGTTTCTGCCTCTTTTTTGTGGATGGGTTACATCACACTGTTACACAATGCCCCCACCCCCTTCTCCAAAAACACCCCATCCATACATCAGTCCCAACACTGCTGGGAACACGAACGCAACACGGGGATGGAGCGTCTGACTGAAGGGCCTTGGAGGCCTTCGAGTTTGAGACACTCGCTGTTGATTTGAAGCAGATGTTGCCGGCGCAGATGATCTGCCTTTAGGCCCACGAGCAGCGCCGGCGTAGGAAGTTGCTGTGTGTTTGCACGGAGCGAGCGGCGGAGAGAGAGGCCTCCATACAGATGGTGTCACAGTGGGGTCCGCTGGCTCTCGGCCTTGTGGGATTGTTTCTTGTTTGGATAAGGGTCAGCTTCTCAGTGGGCCTCTCTTGTCCCCGTTATTGTCTCTTTTATATTATTATATATTTTATATTACACTTCACACTTTGCAGCCCCGCTGTATGAAGTATAGGGACGCTTGATTTACGCGAGGAACACGCGATCCTTCTAAACATCCTTCGGGCCCTTTTCAGTAATGTACCTCTTTAAGAAATACTAACATTATAGAGTTTATAACATTTAAACGATTAAGACAATTTCTAAAAGCCAAAGTAACGGCTTCAAATGATTTATTTGGTTGGACCCTGAAAAGTGTATTTCAGTTAACTATCAAATGAGAGTGAATGCAGCAAATCCTCGATCCTGAATCATCTGATGATTTATTAACCATTTGGTTGACCCAAGAGGTGATAATTAAATGTTAGTTTGGGTCTTGTTTTGTTTTCGTCTTAAATATTTTAAGTATAATTGTACCTGATTCCAAGGGTTTTTATGTACTTCTTGCAATGATCAAACACGAGGAAGTATTATGATAATTAGAGCAGCTCTGGTGACTCAACAAGCTCCATGTTCATTGCCTTATCGAAATTCTCACTTTTCAGTTCCCTTTCACGTTTTCACATCAGCATTTGCTATAAAAATACCCCTTTAACCCGAACTAATGACACGATGATCTCCTGATGTTCAATTCACACAGACAACGGTCATAATATAACCTGAAAGCACAGTATGTCCTGAAGGAATCAGCTTCCTTATTCACCATCAACACGGTCAAACAACATAATGAAAGCTGATAAATGTCAAATGCAACTTACACTAAACAGCCAGAAGACGAAAGGAACATAAACCCTCTGCTGTTAGTAAAGGGGGAGCTACTTAACATCCTGTCTTTCTGCATGAAACGTACCTGCAAAGGCTTCCTGTCTCGTGAGCTCACGAGGACACGCAACCAGACACCGAGAGGAAAAGTATTCAGCCTCACACACACACACACACACACACACACACACACGCCGGTGTACCTGCGGCAGAGCGATGGACAGCTGCCGGGAAAGGGACTCCTTTTCGTGGCCGAGCTCGCGGAGGCGGAGCTGAGCCGTGCCCAGGCAGTCCTGCGTCTCCCTCAGGTTCTCCAGCAGCCGCTCCCTCTCGGTCAGCATGTTGACCATCAGCGACTCCAGGTTCCCCGTGCTGCCGCCTTCGTCCCCTCCGCCCCTCGCCTCTCGGCCACCGAAGCCCCCGGCTCCGACTGCACCGCCGCCGCCGCCTCCGACCCCGGCGCCGGCGGGCGAGGAAGAGCCCCCGCCGGTCCCGCTTCGCCCATCCTCGGAAATGGTGGGCATCACCTCGCACATCATCATGAGACCGGGGCGTGTGTGTCTGGTTGGTAGAGAAGACTAAACGGGATTGTGCATGCGAAAGGTCTCTCCTCGTGCCGCGGGGGGGGTTTATGAGCTTGTATTAAAAGCTTGATGTACAAATGAAAAATATTTACAGTTTCCCAAAAATATCCTCCCTTTGGTTTGCATATCGTCCTCTGTTTATTACCTCTATGTTTGCTCACTCTTTCCTCGTAAAGTCCAAACCTGTGTGCTGCACGATCAGAGTGCTTCTGTTCTTCTGTGTTATGCAAGTGGAGGGAGTATCTACGGGGAAGCCCTGCTGTGGGTGGCTGGGAATGGAAGAGGGTGGAGGGGGGGGGTTGTGGGGAAGGAAGGGACAACAGCAGAGGGCCGATGCTCATGAACCGGGTGCACGAGTCAGAGCTCTCTCAAAGCACTGGGGGTGAGACCTGAAAAGGAGAGCAGAACCTCCTTTAGATCCCCCCCCGACGAAACGTCAAGTAACAGAGCACAGTTTTGAGGAAATGGGAATCACTCAGAAAGTTCCATTTGGGTTTCACACACTCTCGTCCGTGATAGTTGGTTTGAGACAAAAGTCAACATGTTCAAATTAAAAGTTCAGACCCTTAAGGAGATTCGGATATTTCATTTCTTTTTTCAGTCACAGGGGGGGGGGGGGGGGGTGGAGACCACTCGCAAGAGCCAGCAACCGGTTAGCTTAGCATTGCACAAAGCCCTGAAATAGCGGGTAACAAAATGTGCCCCTCATGCTCGCTGATTAAACATCAAATACCTCGTTTGTTGATTCGTGCATCTAAAATTGTGGAAAACAAGTTGTGGAAAAACCAGGTGACCTTATGAACGTACCGTAAAACGTCAGCACAGCACCCCAGGAAACTAAACCCTGTTGATAATAAACTCTGTATTCAGGTGCTGGTTGTTGGTTTTTGTTTGATAGCTGTTTCCAGTTTAAGCAACTACACTGCGTCAAGCCCCATTTAATCATCTGTGTTCTAAATCGCCTTTTTAACGCCGTCTCAAACCGCTAACTCCGGCCCGAACGCCATGGATTCAGGCGTCCAGCGTTAGCACAGCGCCGCATGTCCCTCTCTTCTCGCCTACCGTATTCTTCACTGTCTAGTCCTCAACACTCCGGGGGCTTTCACTGGCCTTTATACCTCCAAGTGGTCTGGACTGATTTAGTGCCCGTGCGGGCTTCTTCGCGTCAGCGAGACTGGCCACAGCTAGAAAGAATCTCTTTGTCCACCGAAAATCATGCATTTTGAATGAATCAAACATATTTAGCAAAGAGGCCTCGGCCTGTTTCACTGCCAGTGGTGTGTTTGTTGTCAGGCGGACGGCTCTACGTGAGCTCCTCGAGTCGGCGGGCTGGAAAACCAACTAAAGGCCGAGTTCCTTGGTACGGTGGGATAATCCTCATCACCAGTCAGCATCTCCGTCAGCTCCGTCAGCTCCGTCAGCTCAGCAGGCCGACAGAAAACAGGGTGATGTGATTACTGCAGCCTACTGTACACAGTGTGCAGGGTCACGTGACGAGTGTGTGCCGGAGTCAGTAACTGTGAAGCCTGCAGTTCTGCTGAGGGGTCACTGGGCTTCAGGACCTGTGCAGTTATGTGTGTGTGTGTGTGTGTGTGTGTGTGTGTGTGTAAGGGGGAGAGATAGGAAACTAGAGACACAATGACGTAACACCACGAGCATTATTGAGACCGTTTCCTTGAATGATCACCCCTCCGTGCACCTCACACGGGGGGAGGGGGGGAGTGGGGGAGTGGGGGGGTCCTCATGTCACAGTGTCAACAATCGATTGAGTATGTGTGCATTGGTGTGTGTGTGTGTGTGTGTGTGTGTGTGTGTGTGTGCATACATGTGGGTGATTTCATATTATGATTGCACATATCATCATCATCATCATCATCATCATCATCATCACACAGCCACACTGAGGCCTGTTTGAACCTTACCGGGGGGGGGGGGGGGCCCCCTGGCTACAAAAAAAAATAGGAAGGCGGACAAATTAGGTTTGTGGGAAAAAAAAACTCCCGGCCCTTAAAAAAATTTGGGGGAAGCTAAAAATCCCCAACCCCTTGGGGGTGTTTTGGTTTGGGTGTGTGTCTGAGAAAAAAAAAAAAGTAAATCTTCCTCCCTCCCCCCCAAAACTGGGGGGGGGGGGGGGGGGGGGGGGGGGGGGTTTTTTTCCCCTTCTTCTCCCCAAACAAAGAGGAAGGAGGGTTTTTCCAATCTTTTTTTTTTTCTCCCCCGCGGTGAGAGAAAGATCTCTCCGAGAAAAAAAGTGCCGCGGGCCAGGAGAGAAAAACCTTATGGCCTCAACAAAAACACAAAAAAAAAAAGAGCCCCCTACCCTCCGCTACCTTTCCTATTTTTTTCCCCCCCTC